AGCTGAAAGCGAAACTAGCACTGGAAAGGAAAACGAGAGCCGTACTTGTAATACAGGTTAGAAATTATTGCAGAGGTTGTGAAAGAACTTAGTTTGCAGAAAATTTATGGCGTTAGCGCTTATTGTCAGTGAGCGATACACATGTTTTAATGGAACAGTTCATAGTTATGATTAGTTGACTGCTTTTGATGAATAAGTGATAGGCGTTGTTGATGATCTTAGGTTACGAATCAGTTATATTGAGTAAGTGAACGTTTCTGACTGGTTTGGTGATTTCAGAGTTTCATTAGAGGTTGTATGGCAAGAAATGACTTCAAAGAATTGAAAACACGCAAAGACTTCGAACGTCAACTGAAAGCTGTGATTGCAATTCAGGTTGGCAGTATTTTGTTGGTCCAGTCACTTTTTCATAACGCTTTACTTTCTCGAAGCTCAATTATGTTCCATGCTTATTGTTGGATTATAAGAAACAAATTTGATTGGCGGGTATTTATTTGGGTGAATAGATTATATTTGGAGTAGTTTTTAGAGTGTTGCAAGGGGCTATCTGGCTCGTCGTTCGTTCCAGTTACTGAAAGAAGAGTGCGAAAAAAGGCGTAGGGCAGCAATCGTAATACAGGTGAACATTTCATTAATATTAGGACAAATTTTTGAGTATGAACTAAATGTGAGTTTTATAATTTCAATCATATTTACTTTTCCCTGTAAATGTGATCGTTTCATTGATTTTTTGTGTTTGTGAGTTCATATTTTACTTTGTATTGTTAAAATATTTTTAGAGTTATATGAGAGGTTGGGTGGCGCGTTGTGCCTACCAAAAGTTGAAAGCACAAAGGGATTGGGAACGCAAAACTCAAGCAGTGATTGCGATACAGGTTAAAAAGTTGAAATTTCTTCTACTGTTTCTGTTTTGGCCGATGGAAACTCAAAAACAATTCAGAATAATGGTTTTTGTTCAACTTTTCATTTCGCTTTCAGTTTAACGCTGAAAATTGATGGTAAAGTTTGATTTGTGTTACAGAGTGTTCTGCGTGGTTTCAAAGCGAGATGCGAGTATCTCACACTGAAAGCACGGAAAATATTCGAAAGGAACACCAAAGCAGCCATTATAATACAAGTTAGAAATGTTGAACGTTTTTAAGAATTAGATAATAGACATAAGCCAAGTAATAGCCTGGCATAGGCTCACAACAACAACAACAACATCAGTGTGTACGAATATGATGTTTTTAAGAATGATGATGATATCACTCTAAAAAAATTTTTTTTTGAATTAAACTCAAAGAGGTTTAGTTTTAAAGTTTGGCAAAAGAAAAATACTGTTTTCAGTCCTATGTGAGGCGTTTCCTGGCCAAATGCGTATATTGTCGTATGAAGGCGGAGCATTTGAAAGAGCTGGAGCGGCGGCGACATCATGCAGCTATTGTTATTCAGGTTTCAGTTCGTCTTCATTCATTCGGTTTTTTTAAAAATCAGAATCGTATTCCGCAAAAAGTTTCCGATACGATTAACAATAAGCTGAATGATGAACACTTGGACATACGTGATCGGAAAACGGAACGTTCCTTACAGAATGATTTATACGAGCTTTTCAACATCAGGGTGTTTCATATCTAAGTTGGTGTTGTTCAGAGTGTTGTAAGAAGATACTTGGCTGAATGTCAGTTGGATCGCCTGAGAATCGAATGGAAACAGCAGTGTCGTGAAAAGGCTGCCGTCGTTATACAGGTACTTTGAAGAGAAGTTCCGCTGTTATCGTGATTTCATTTCATAAAAATACTAATAATGATAATAAATATTACTGTTGTTATTATTGCATTATTATTATCATTATTGTTTTTTTAATTATTGTTTTACGGTTTGTGTTATTATTGTTATAATTATTATTACTTTTATGAAATGAAATATCGTTTGATTATTATTATTATTATTATTATTATTATTATTATTATTATTGTGGAACAGATTTCTCTTAATAACTCAATATTGAGTTTGTTGATGTGTTTGCAGTGTAATGTCCGTCGATACATTTGTCGTAAACGTTACTTGCAATGGAAGATGCAAAAAGAAATCGAACAGTCTAAGCAAAATGAAGCTGCTGTTATCATTCAGGTTTTTTTTTAAATTTCTTCTTCAACAACTTGTTTAAACAAGCTGAATTTCGATTTTCGAAATGACGATTGAGACAAAAATTCGATTTTTCATAACTGGAATTTTCGTGTTCAGAAAAATAAATTTGGTGCTGAAAAATCATCATGGTATGATAGTAATTAATCTGTGTGTGACTATAATAAAAAATAAAAATACGCTACCAAACAGGCTTGGTATCGACGTTTGATTGCTCAGAGGCGAGTGGCCACGATGATTTTGAATGAAGCGAATCTAGCGGACACATCAACTTCATCGTTGGAAGACGAGGAGGGAGTGAGTGGTGAAGTGACAGACCGGGATAGTGGCCTTAAACAACAAAAGGACTATCGGAATCAGATACGTCGCATATATCGTCGTATCAAGATACAACAACGCGAGCAGAAGAATTTGAAAGCCGTTCTGAGAGTGAGTCTTTTAATAGTGAATAAATACTCTGTTCGATGTGAATAGTCGTTGAACGCATTTCTCATTTCATAGTATCATATGAATTCGGAATGCAAAGATCATTTCATATCTTTGCAGTCATGTTATGCTCAGAAGGTGACACTGGAGGGCATCAGTCCCAGTGCTTTCACATAATTTTGGTATAGTGATTCGTTTCAGACAGACGTTTCAGAAAGTATCTTTAGGGGAAATTAAGTAAAAGTATTTATCATTGCAGGCATATTTTCGAGCGGCTGCAAAGCGACGATGTGAAGAGTTGAGACGCGATCGAGCTGCCATCAAAATTCAGGTATTCAGGATTTGTTTTCTAAATATCTTTCAAAAATTTTCATTTTAGTTCAAGTAGATTTGGCTTTGGGTTGCATGAAATTGATTGGGTTAATGATGCAGATAATGTGGGCTGATGTGATGTTTTTAAGGCGCTGTGGCGAGGGTATCNATCTCGTAAGCAATGTAAGGCGATGCGAGACAGGATCGCGGAAGGAATGAAGCGTTTTCATGAGCGGAGAGTGAGTGCCGACGAAAGGGAACAACGCAAGAGACCAATAATAAAACGTGTCATCCATCTGTTGCCACATTTGATGTCGGAGGATCTAGCGAAACGCAGTTATGCAGCCAATAATCTTGGTAGTATAATTTTCACATTTTATCATTGCCGTAAAATGTTTTGCTTTGTTTTACATTAGAATAATATTTGTTATAATGATGTGGTAAATGAGGTTTTTATTGAGAAGCGAATGATTGAAACGAAAGGCTTTCAGCTATATTCACTGAATATTCGGAACGTTGTGCAGTGTATGTGTTCGAACAGGGTGGCATCGAAATGATATTGGACTCGCTGGATAGCTCGAATCGTGGATATGCTTCACTTTATGTTGTTACCAGTATCAGCAAAATATTGGCCAATTTGTTGAAGGTTTGTTGGTTTGATTTTTCATTTACGCTTCTTGCGTATCTTTGTCCATTGATTCTTTTATTTTACTTCATGTTATGTGATTGCTTTGTAATCAGTATAGTGTTTTGTTGGAATTCAGTTCGCTTCGATCAGAAGATCACTGAGTGCAGAGCGATGCANTTCATTTTTTCACTGATTTTTTGATAATTTTCAGAAGTTGGTGAATGATATTTTTAGCATTTAAATAGTAGTTTTTTTCACCGAAAAGTATCACGCTAAGATGACGCTCAATCATCGTTACGTTCATATTTGTATTTTGTTCAAAAATTGTTTCAGTTTACGAAAGCTGCGTTCTACGTGAACGAGTTAAGGAAACGTTATGCGCACTTAGGTGAAGACGAACGTCGTCTGAAGTGTTTGGCAGATGTGGAATCTGCCTATGAAATTCGTTAAGCAGGCGTATTTTCGAAGGGAATCAACTGAAGATTGTGCATGATTTTTTAATGTGGTGTGTCGCCGATTACAGCATGAGGATATGATTTTCTTTACCTTTGAGAAGCTTCATTTGATATTTTCAATATTGTTTCATATCGATATCGGTGTTGCTTTGTTATACATGGAGAATTTGTATATTTGTATGCATCACATCCAATGGAAAATATTGCATAACCTCGTACAGTACCAGCTGCCTATGTATGTACTTATGTTTCTCATTCATTCCGTGCAATT